GGGCAGAGCAGGGAGAGGCAGCACTTTGAGGGGGAGCAGCCAAATCATGCCTCCCCCCACCAAGCCAAGACTGGGAGGAAGGGAGGGAGGGGACACCGGGCTGGAACCGCCTGCCCTCCATCCATCCATCCATCCATCCCTCTGGAACACTCCGGTGCCGATGAGGAGCTATGGAGATCTCCTACCGGATCCCGTGCACTAAGCTGGGAAAACAACGGCGGAGGGGTCAGAGGAGCCACAGGGATGGGGGATAAAGTGACTCCCCCCACCCCAGGGCTGTTCCACCCCATTGTATCCTGCCTGCAGCTTCCCCCCACCTCTGGTTCCCCCCTTTTACGGTCCCCTCGTCCCCACGCTCACTCGGGAGAAGGGGGTTGACACTTACTGCAATTTTGTTTCCAGCAGGTTCAGCTTCTGCTGGTCGACATAGCGAGAGAAGAGGGAGATCAGGTTGGAAGGGGTGGAGACCGGCTTGGCCAAGGCCGCCTGAGGGATCCGCAGGAGCTCCCGGGTCGCCATGAGCATCAGCTCCGTCCTGCCGGAGAGGGGCACAGGAGAAGGGAGGAGTGAGAACCATTGGGTGCTTGGGGAGCTGGGTGTTCTCCAACTCATAGAATGGTAAAGATGATCTAGTTCCACCCCCCTACCCTGGGCAGGGACACCTCCCACCAGCCCAGGTTGCTCCAAGCCCCGTCCAACCTGGCCTTGAACACCTCCAGGGATGGGGCAGCCACAGCTTCTCGGGGCAACCTGCGTCAGGGGATCACCACCCGCACAGGCAACAATTTCTTCCTGATATCTCAGCTAAATCTCCCCTCTTTCACTGTAAAACCGTTCCTCCTCATCCTATGGCTCCCCTCACTGATTCAGAGTCCCTCCCCAGCTCTCCTGGAGCCCCTTTAGGCACTGGAAGGGGCTCTAAGGTCTCCCAGGAGCCTTCTCTTCTCCAGGCTGAACACCCCCAACTCTCACAGCCTCTCCTCCCAGCAGAGGGGCTTCAGCCCCTGGATCATCATGGCTCTCCCTTGGGGTGCCCCGGGCTACTCGGGCCTTGTGGCGTTTTTGCCACTGGAACCAAGCAGGAGGTGGTGCCGTGTCCTCGGACACCGGCCTCCCCACGGGTAAGGGTCCTGCCTGCGCTTGACAGCCTCACCGAGTCGCCTGTAGCGAGACGCCCTGGCCGCTCTGCGGGACCCGGCCTTCTCCCCTTGGGCACTCAACGCGACGATGTGCCACGCAGGGGCTGGCAGGGACATTCGAGCCCCTGGGGAACAGGGGTAACGCCACATCACGCACCTCGGGCCGTGGGCTAAGCAAGACTCGGATCTGCTCAGGCTAAAAGCGCTACAGCCGCTCAGCTGAGGTTACAGCTTCCCTGCTCCTCTGAGGGACCGGTCCTGGCATGTCCCAAGCCATATTTATCGCTTCCTTTCTCTGCCTCAGGCCTGCCTTTCTCTTTCCTTAAACACCATGGCTGTTTCCAGTGCTACTGCCGAGAGACTGCAATTAAACCTCCTTTGTCATCAACTCTACCTCCGAGTCCTTCGGGACTCCGCACGGCAGAGCGTCTGACCCCGATGGCATCGCTGCCATCCTCCCTCCTGGCCCCAGGAGCAGCCGAGGACGAGCACTCACCACTGGTTGTCCTGCATTAGCTCTGTGTTCGCGTCCGAGCTCTGCAGTTCCTCCCCGCGGCTCAAGACCAAGTACAGCAGGGACAGGCCGAACTGCAGGGAGAGAGGGAGAGTGTCAGGGAGGAGGAGATGTCCTGCCGGTGCTGTCACAAGCCATCGCTCGCATCCCGAGGGCTGTCATGCCTCGCGAGGAAATCCCTGTGGCAGGGCAGGGTGAGCTCTTCTCCCACCATTCCTCCCCTCCGAGCGTTTTTTGGGTGGGTCTGAGAATCCCCTCCACCTCCCAGTCCTCCTGGGGATGGTGACACGAGCGGGAGGACCGCCAGCTGCCGCCCAAAAAGGAGGAAGAGGAGGCTGTTTATGGACCCAAGTCACGGCAGGGATCGTGGATGGCTGTGTGAGTGACAGACCGCTCCCTGCCCAGCTCGGAAGGACGTCGCCACTAACCCACGGCAGAGGAGCGGCCCTCCCATCCCCGATTTCAGGGCAGGAGTCTGCAGCCCAGCGGGACGGACAACGGAGCCGGCTGTTGGACCGCAGCAGAGTCCCAGGCCAGCTCAGACGGCTGATTAATCTGCCAGACACCCTCGTTAATCAACAAGGGAACGGGAAAAGCGCCAAGGGCTGGCAGCCCGTGGCTCCTGTGCCGTTGCCTGCACCACAGTTGCATTCAGCTCTGCCATCCAGCGCCGGGAGGCTGCCGGAGAACTCAGTTTTCCCAACTATGGGAAGGGATGAGATGGCCCCACCCGCCCCAGAGTGCCAAACGAGGGGAGCACCTTGTTTTGGAGCACAGCAGTGAGGTGCAGGTTGGTGGGCGCTGGCGCGGTCGCGCTCTGAGGTAGGTTCGTTAGCTGCTGCACAAGGCTGGTGACCGTCCCCAAGGGAAGGTGGTAGAGAACGTGCGAGAAGGGCCTCAACAGGCAGGGCAGC